TACTTCAACAAGGGACTGAACAATAGGTGACATTTAATGAGCAATAGCCAGTAAAATTCAGGAGAGGTCCTGTTTTAAATGTGTTTGTTACCAAAAATTTATTTCCACACCTTTCTGGAGTGCAATTCTAACCCAGTTTCCCATAGTTATGAACAAAAAATAAATTTGCCTTCCCTGAGCGCTGACTGAAGTAAACAAATCACTGATAAGACTTTCTGGGAACCATGACAAAGCCAGAAGTAACAGAAAGTCAGGTGATCAAACCATATTAAAGGAAGCCCTGTTTGAATGCTGAATGCTTCAGCCAGAACTCATGCAAATGCACAGAAGACAGGAATGCTTACTCCATGCGTTCATTTCAGCACTCTCTCCTAATCCCAGATGCTCTCTTTCTTGAGATGTGGAGATTTCAGAAGGCATGGGATTGGCGACCTGGGGTGAGTTTTGACCCAAATTAACTCAAGGAGTTAAGAGTGCATGCAACAATCAATCAAGATCTTTGAATCTTACTTTGGATCTTGTGGTGCCTCTTCAACCTCATACTCAAATTGTTGTTTCTTTCTCCTTCTTCTAACTTGTCCTATCTCAGAGTTTGGTATTATTTTGGGTTGCCATATTTCGAAAAGTGAAAGTGAAACTTTTGGCAAACTTGTTGAGCTTTTTTGGCAAAATCACAAGGAAATTGGACATTTTTGAGCTTTTTCTGAGGAAAATTGGCAAAAATGGCACTGCCAACATGGGCTGCCATATGTCTGGACATTTAGCCAATTTCCACCTGGACACTGCTTGCGGCTGCAGTATTCCAATCCTAGTATTATTTCTCAGAAGCATAGATCAAAAGTTGAGTGTGTTCATCTCACCTGCAGCCCATATGGTAATTCTAGGTGACTTGCAATTGGCTTGTAGCTGAATTTAAATCTTAACCATTTTGTAGCAGCTCGCTTGCTAGATATTCTACAAACGTCAGAAAAAGTCAATTGCTAGCACTGTACAACATCTTCCATTGTGCTATGGAATGCCAAGTTTTGCACGCCAAAAACTCTGGCCAAAACAATCAAGTGTTCCAAGATTTGTCATCCATATTGTTCTTCTGATGCAACAAAACATGTATGTCCCCAACTGCATACCCTCCAACATTTCTCAAATGAAAATAGGGACATCCTATTCAACAACATCAACGTTATTTATACCCTGCCTATCTGACTGGGTTGCCGCAGTCACTCTGGGCTGCTTCCAACATGTATAAAAACCTAACAAAACATTAAACATTAAAAAATTTCCCTATACACAGATGACTTCTAAAGGTTGTATAGTTACGTATCTCCTTGGCTCAGGGGCAACTTGGTTGTCATCCCATACCCTCCAAGATTTTTCTGATGAAAATAGGGACGCCCCATGCCATAGTGATAGTTTTACTATTTATACCCCACACATTTTACTGGGTTGACCCAGCGAACCTGGGCTGCTTCCAACATTAAAAAAAAACATAACAGAGCATTAAACATTAAAAAACTTCCCTAGGCAGGATTGCCATACCCTCCAACATTTCTCTGATGACAACAGGGACTTCCTAAGGAAAAGCGGGACATTCTGGGATCAAATCAGAAACTAGGATGGCTTCTTTAAATCTGGGACTGTCCCTGGAAAATAGGGATATTTGAAGGGTCTGGTATTGGTGTTTACAGCTACAGCAGGTGCTTTAACCTTCCAACAGCAAAAATAAAAACTCGCCTCTTTTGAGGTTGAATATATTAACTACTGATGGCACATTTTTCACCACTTACTGGTCTTCTCTTATAATGTAGAGGAGAAAACACTCAGTTACTTGAGTCTTTGGAGAAATCATGTGATACAACCTGCTGTGATCCATGCTGCTGCAAATTATCACTGCAATAGTCCAGTTAGAAGGGTTACTGTAATTTAAGTCAGACACAATACCATCTTCTCTCACTTTTCCTGACCACCTCTTTTTCCTCTCTGTGTTTGTGAAACTTCTATCCTGGAGCTTATATCCTTTGTAGTAGGAGCACCACATCCCTTGGTGCTAATTTCAACCCTGTTTTTGTTCTTCAATGTGTTGTGTGTACAAAGGTATTTCAGGAAGAACCCCTCTTGATTTGCTTGCTCCTTAGCTTTTCCTGTGTTCTGCTTATGGCATTGAGCTCCGGTACCACAACCATAACTCAGTAGAAAATGAATGCATTTTCTAAATAAGATTGTGACTGTGAAATTTAAAATTAAGTGCATTGTGTGTGTGTGTGTGTGTGTGTGCAATATGATAACCTCCACTCTACAGTTGGTCTAATATATATATATATATATATATATATATATATATAAATAATATTATATTATTGAAGTAATTCATACATAAGATTTGTTATATATCTTATGTATGAATTACTTCAATAATGATAAAATACTTCAAAAGTGAAATATTATCAGAAATTTATAAGATATAACAAAAACAATCTATATAAAACTGTGCCCCTCAAAGGTCAGCACTGTACCCCTCAGAGGTCTGTGCCCTAGATGGCTGCCTAGTTGATAGCACTGGCCCTGCTTTGCGGTCATGAAGGGGAATAAAGAACGTGTTATGTGGAGGAACTGTCTGTGGTACTTCAAGGGACTCTGCAGCCTGTGCTGGAAGGAAGGAAGGGAGGGAGGAGTCCCTGCTGACCTGATCAGTGGCCAGCACAAAAGTGAATATTCTCACTCCACAATCAACTGAAGAACATTAGGAAACAGTCACTGCTGAAGCCCTCCCATTAACCTTCCTTAAGACACAGAAAACTGAACTTTTAAGGATGAATATGTTTCATATTTCTGACGGATGAGCAGCTCCGAGTTACTGTGGAGACTGCAACTTTTATAGATGCCCATCAATATATTTGACATGGCTTCTATATGAAAGCTTGTTTCTGAACCTCACTATCAATATATGCTCCAATATTTAGCAGCATGGCACTAGAGGAAAAAAAGTTAACAGCTTCTCTGTTTTTTCAATATATCTGAGAAATCACATCATGAATGTAGCACAAAGCTGGATTTTTATTGTTCTGCTATTATTTATGAGCATGAACATGTGGACTCATTCATGCAATCTGTCATCTTAGGGATACAACTTCCCACTCATCATCAGTGACGTAGTATGCTTTCTTAATTCTCTGTAAATGTGGCCATACTAAATTTAAATATTTCTCCCACATAGAACCTCATCTGACGCATCAACTGAGGAGATTGGCATTGGGTGGGAAGTGCTTGGAGACACAGTTGAGGAGGCGGAAGAAACTCGGCCACATCAGTAAGCAGAAGCGGAGGGGGCAGGTGAGTGAATGCTAGTTTCTTTCTCATCTAAAGGCCTACGTCATTAATTGCACCATGAAATGCCTCATCTGCTGATGCACAGAACCGATGCGTCACGGTGAATGTACACAAATAACTGGCTGCAGCACAAATTCACTTAACAAACCTAATCACCACAATTCTGACTGTGTACTCAAATGCAAGTGTGTACACTCTTGAAGCAAGGTCCATCATATCCCTATTCTGGCCCAAGTAGGTAGAGGAAAAGAAGATGGTGATGGGCAAGACATGCACTTCACAGACGGCATATTTAATAGAGGCACCCAGGTATCGAGGGTTGATGCCTTTTTGGCGAGGAGGGGCATCATAAGCGTTCCAGTACAGTAAGTGCTGTCAAAGCTGTATATTTGCAGCACCACATAGGGCTCACCCATGTTTATATTTTGCCCCACACTTTTTAGGCACAGTTCTGTGCTTTAAAGCTCTGTCTCCGAGTGCTTTTCTTTGGTCCTGTTGCCATTTCCAGAAAAACCTGCTCTTTAAAGCTGAATTGGAAAAAATGACAATTCAGCTTTCTTGCCATATGCTGTTTGCACTGATTCAACGTTAAAGGGTGGGGTTCCATGGTGAAAGCAAAAGGATGCAAAAGGAAGTCTGGATGAGCCCTTAGTAACACACCACCATGTACAGCACTGAGATCCAGTGCCAAGGGCCTTCTGGTGGTTCCCTCACTGCAAGAAGACAAGTTACAGGAAACCAGGCAGAGGGCCTTCTCGGTGGTGGCGCCCGCCCTGTGGAACACCCTCCCATCAGATGTCAAGGAAATAAACAACTACCTGACATTTAGAAGACATCTGAAGGCAGCCCTGTTTAGGGAAGTTTTTAATGTTTGATGTTTTATTGTATTTTTTATCTCTGTTGGGAGCCGCCCAGAGTGGCTGGGGAAAACCAGCCAGATGGGCCAGGTATAAATAAATAATAATAATAATAATAATAATAATAATAATAATAATTACAACATTGCCTAACTAAAGAAAAGAGTTGCAGATGTCATGTTGTAGTCACCTGGAGATGCCTGCAGCCCTAGTTGTTTCTAACAATGGCATTTATGTAAATACAGTGGTACCTCAGGTTACATACGCTTCAGGTTAAAGACTCCGCTAACCCAGAAATAGTGCTTCAGGTTAAGAACTTTGCTTCAGGATGAGAACAGAAATCGTGCTCCGGCGGCACGGCGGCAACAGGAGACCCCCTTAGCTAAAGTGGTGTTTCAGGTTAAGAACAGTTTCAGGTTAAGAACGGACCTCCGGAACAAATTAAGTACTTAACCCAAGGTACCACTGTAAGTGATATATTTACTTGTATGCACCATGAACAGCATGGCATAGTGATTATGCGGATACCTGAAATTATCTCATGACAACTCCCTGAGCATTGTTACCCTAAATGAAATATGCCATGTTAAGAAAGGTAAACCTGGGAGCGGGGATTATATATATTTTAAAAGTGGGCCGGACTAATCTCCACAAGGCCTTTGGCTTGGAGTCAATTTGATCCCCCCCCTTTCTTTTTCCTTTCTCCCCCTGTGATGAGGCTGCATTTTAATTGTTTTAATGTTTTAATGTTGTATTTTCTTATTGTTTTTAAGTTGTATTCATTTAACTCGTTTTTATTATTGGTTGATAGCTGCCCTGAGCCCGTGTGTGTGTGTGTGTGTGAGTGCGTGTGCACACACACACACACACACACACACACAGAGAGAGAGAGACAAAAAAAAAGCTCTATGTTTGTACTTTGTGGTGGGTGTGTATTTAAAAATGTATTCCATAAGTTAATGTTCAGATAAATTTTAAAAATGTTTTTTAAAGGATCAGCACGTACTAATGTACACACTACTGCTTACAGTTCAAAAGCACGTCAAAGTGCAAGTAGATCAATAGGTACCACTCCGGCGGGAAGTTAAACGGCGTTTCCGTGCGCTGCTCTGGTTCGCCAAAAGCGGCTTAGTCATGCTGGCCGCATGACCCGGAAGCTGTACACTGGCTCCTTCAGCCAATAAAGTGAGATGAACGCCGCAACCCCAGAGTCGGCCACGACTGGACCTAATGGTCAGGGGTCCCTTTACCTTTGCCTTTACTGCTTACATCAATATGCAGCTGGTTTCTGAGCTTTTACCTTTAAATCTGGGAGAAAGAGTAGACCTTCCTTGCATAAGAGCATATGAAGAATGTTTGGCCACAAAACCCATCCCCTGAGCAACATATGCATGTACAAACTTGCAGGAAGCTAACAAAAAATAATGTTGAAGTGCAACTTAGCAGAACACAATTTGCACACAGCCAGCCACACCCCACTTAAGGCTGCTATTGCCTGTGTGGCACCAGTTTACAAATGGCACTGGAGTTTCTGGGGCACCCTGGAGTAGACCAAAAGTTCCCCTAACTGCATGCAGCAGCTGTCTGGGACAGCAAGAACTGGTATGAGTTATCCTGTCCTTTAACCTAAGGTGGGGATGCTACTTCCTTTGTGTGCAGAATAACGTTTTTGCTTGATGTACCTACTGGGGTGCCCCTTTCACAATTGCTCTGGAATTAAGAAGCGGCAGTCCAGAAGACTTGTTACACTTCACCAGAGACATATTTGTTGGTGATAAGCAAGTACATTTCCTTTTTCCGAACTTCTAGTTAATGCATGTGCTAGTTTAAACCACACAAGGGAATCTAGCCAGTATTTGCAAGTGATTACTTCAGTGATAAATAGGTACTGCTCCGGCGGGAAGGTAAACGGCGTTTCCGTGTGCTGCTCTGGTTCGCCAGAAGCGGCTTAGTCATGCTGGCCACATAACCTGGAAGCTGTATGCCGGCTCCCTCGGCCAATAAAGCGAGATGAGTGCCGCAACCCCAGAGTCGGTCACGACTGGACCTAATGGTCAGGGGTCCCTTTACCTTTACCTTACTTCAGTCTAATTCACTGAAGCTGCATGATTTGCTAACCGCATTCTCCTTCTCTGCCTTTCTTCTACTGCTGGTTACCACACCATTACATAACCTCTATTTTTTCCAATATCTGGCATAGAAATTCCTATTGTAAATGATCCAATGCTTCTTGGGCACCCAATACCAAAGGTTCATTTGAGTTATGAATTAGGTGTATTCCATTCACTAGGATCCTGGAGAATATACTGCTGTGTTACAGTATGCTGAATTTTTAAACTTTTGAATTCCAAAAATAAAGGGTGTTAAAAAAATGTAGCATGACAGGAATTCAAAAGATATTTTGGTTTTACTAGTATAATTTAGTTTTGCTTGATAAATAAATGCATAAAAATATTGACATTTTACGTTTTGTGGAAATTTCATTAATTTTAAACTTATTTTTAAAACTTGTGAAAATGTGTGTTAAGTTGCATAAAAATCATGACAAATGATTGCCAAGTACTTGCAGTTATATTATATATGGCTGAGTATAACAGATAAATCAAGAAGCAGAAACACCAAGCAGACAAGGCTTGCTGAATATAAGTAGAGAAGTAAGCAGAATGCTTCAATAAAATAATTTCTCTGCTGGTGAAAATGAATAACAAATAGCTGATGCCTAAGATGGACCTGATGGAAGTTATGAACTGGTATTAGAAAAACAAAGTATGCATTCCACTTCTAATAAAAAGACAACTACAACACATTAGAAAGACATAGTGTTGCCCAGCACCACTGCTGCCTTCCTGGATGCTGGCTTGGTCACTGAAGAAGACAAGAGACATGGCTCACAATGAAGTCAAGAGGGTTGAAGAAAAAGCCATAAAATCCCTGGATCAGGAATTTGATAATTTTTTAAAAAATTAATTTAGATTTTCCGTCATACAGTTTAAAAGAAAAGGAGAAATAATACATAACAGAAAAGAAGCATTAAATCATTATACATTAAGTCATTATGCAATATCCAAAAAACCCCCACCATAAACAAAATAAGATAAACCCACCACCCTATTTAACTTCCCTCCACCGCTACTCGTCTTCTCTAGAATCAATTTTACCCTTATCATTGCATTCTGATTGTTTTTACTTTCTCTATATACATATATGTCATTGATAAATTATTTGTTTTGATGCATTTACATTCTTAGTCTAAGCATATTAGCATGTCTTTTTTAGAGCAGTAATGGATGCAGTTAATTTAGCCAATTTTAAATATTCGTTTAATTTGAGAATCCATTCCTCCTTGGTAGGTAGTTCTTTAGGTTTCTATTTAGATGCTATTACTATCCTAGCTGCGGTGGTTGCATATAAGAAAATTCTTTTTTTCGATTTCAGCATTTCTTTTCCTAATAAGCCCAGTAGGTAAGCCTCTGGTTTTTTCATTAATGGGATTTTAAGCATTTTTTTTCAACTCCTCATGTATTTCTCCCCAGAAGTAATTAATCAGAGTGCAGCTCCACCACATATGCATTGTTGTTCCAGCTTCCTTGTTGCATTTCCAACAAAGGTTGGATTTCAGTTTATAGATTTTTGCTAATTTGACTGGTGTTAAATACCACCTGTAGAACATTTGATGATCTTTGTCAGAAGGGTGACATTGACTACATCTACTTTGATGGCCTTGAAGATCCAACTAAAGTTATGCTGAAAGTTGACAATTCAGATCACCAGTTTCCCAATATCATCACAGAACAGCATCATTCTTGTGAAGTAAGATAGGTGGAAGTTATCTCTACCACTTTATTCCAAAAAACGCTGAAAAACCAGTTATTGCTAATATTGTAATACTGTAGCTTTCATGAAGAAGAAGGGCATGACCTGCTGCAAATAAATGTTTCAAATGTGTTGTAAAGTGCAATATGCAAATGTGACACTAGATGGCGATGGTGAGCTATGGCAAATTCAATATATTTTTCAAAACCTTTTTTTAAAAAAGGATCTTCACAGCATTTTTTTTAAAAAAAATGTGTATATTACACCCCTGTCTAACAGCAAGTGGACAGGTAGCATTGGCAAGATGCAAGACACTGCTACAGAACTTGAAAGTGAACCTTCATTCACCAGATTCTCAGTTGCAGAACTTCTTACTTCACTGAGTGACTGTGTCATAGAAGATCTGTTCACTGATTTCAAAGCATGGCAAAGGCAAAACCCTCAACCATTTAAGACTGAGAGTGTAATTCAGCATTTGTGTCTACTACCCTGCTGGTTTAACATCAAAATAAAACACTCTTGGGTGGAAGGCCTATGCCACATCTTGTTTTAGCTGATAGACTGGTCTGATGTGAACCTCCTTTGTATAGGAGTCAGCTCCTAGGACCGAGGAACTTCGCCCTCCCCCAATAAAATATTTGAGGGGCCTCCCCCCCCCCATTAATGGGCATTGCCATTCAAATGGTGTGTGTGTGCTTTGTCATGTGATCAGTTATGTGGGGCGGGCTTACCTCCCCTCCCCCCCAGCAATATTTCCTTTGACATGTAAGCATACTACAACTGAAGTAAAGAAGTTCACTGATGAGCCCATGCAAGTTCCACAGCTGCCCTGCCCTGCTCAGTCTATAGCAGGGGTCTGCAACCTTTAAGACAAAAAGAGCCACTTGGACCCGTTTCCGAAGAAAAAAAAACTGGGAGCCGCAAAACTCGTCATTATAAAAATAACTTTTTTGTCACTTTTTATTATTTCTTTGTTTGACCCCTCAGAATTACTCCTCCTCATAGAAATAAATGTTAAATTAACAAGTTACCTTTTTGTGTGTGTGTGTTCTTCACTCCCCTTCAAAACAGTGACCAGTGTACATGCCCCCTTTCAATGCAGTGACCAGCGTACATGCCCCTTACAATGCAGCAGGCGGGCAGGCGGGAAGGTGACGTCGGGACGGTGCTTGACTAACGCACGCACCGCCCCCATGCGACGTCACAGCCAGTACAGCGCCCGCCACAGTGGGGAGTGTCGGGGCGCACAATGCGCCTCCTCCCCTCGCTAGTATCCACCCCGGAGCCACGGTAAAGGTGTAAAAGAGCCACATGCGGCTCCGGAGCCGCGGGTTGCAGACTCCTGGTCTATAGCGAGATGTGCGAAAAGTCACATAGGCAGAGGGCTGGGCGTAGACACATGAGAAACGTGAGGGCTACTTCAGAGTACAAGAAGCAAATCACTGGCTGCTGTCCAATAACGAATCAAAACAATACTTGATGAAACTTGTTTCAATGTCTTATTAACTGATGTCATGATTGTCTAATGTTGTTTTATGATTACAAGGCAATGTATTCTTAGTAGAATATGTTTTATGTAGAGAAACTATTTAAAAAAATAGTATTATGATTATCTGACATTTTCAGAAGGTAAAATTAAAATTATGTGGTTTTCCATAGATTTACCAAGCTAAACGTTGTCCTGTAATAAAAATAGTAGATTTGAATTTCTCACACCCAAAAACATATTTCTAAGACCCTGACTGAAGAAAATTTCAAAAATGAAATTTCACCCCCTACAATGACACACCTTAGAGCTATGTGTCTGTTCTGTGCTGCCTCTGTTTCTGGCTCCCCTCCTGTGTCTCCTGACTCCTGTCCTCTGCCAAAAGTTATTGATCCATTCCCTCTACATTTTTTGAAGGCAAATGTTGACTTTGCCTTATTTTCAAATCTGCAAGTTTTTTACTTGCAGGAAATAAGATATTTTTTAAAATGGTATGTATATAACCTAATTTCATACACATATAACAAACAGCATTATCAGTTATTAGGTATATTTATGTATGCTTCCATTACTTTTACGTTTAT